TGTCCTACTTTGATGGGGTATTAGGACATGGGCAGAGCATCCCACACTCTTAGGTGGTCAAGGAATCTCATGAGGAGTTAGTAGGACAACCTTTGTGGGAGTCCCATTAAGAATGTAACCAGCTATCAAAACTGCTTCCCCCTAGAAATCTAGGGAGTGTTTAGCATCATGCTCCTCACCATTTCCACCAAGGTCCTACTGCATCGCTCGGCTACCCAATTTTGTTGATTGTACGCCATACTATATTGTTGAATGATACCCTGCTCAATACAAAACTTTTTAAATGACCATGAACAATGTTCTCCACCGGTGTCGGTTCTAAGCATTTTAATTTTATAGTTTGTTCGGGTTTCTACGTCGGCTTTGTATTCTTTAAAACAGTCTAGGGCTTCTAACCTTTCCCATAAATAGGTATATATGGCCAAAACGGGAGTGGTCATCTATGGAGTATTCTTTGAAACGATCTAGGGCTTCTAACTTTTCCCATAAATAGGTATACATTGGCCAAAACGGGAGTGGACATCTATGAAAATGATAAAGTGCCTCTTGTGACCCCTGCTAGCCACATTCATAGGTCCACAAATATCACTATGGACAACAAATAAAATGTCAATAGCTCTCTGAGCTTTCACAAAGGATTTGTTATCCAGCTTTCCAGGAACACATGATTCACAAACTCTGGATAAGTCTCCATTTAGATTTTTCAATAGTCGTCTCTTTAATCTTTTCATTCTCGTAGGATTTATGTGCCCCAATCTCATATGCCATATGAATGCATCATCACTATCATTATAACACTAGACATAAGAAATAGAGTTCGTTTTTGCAATTGGAAAGAAACTCTCTACAACAAGACCATTCATGACTAATTCTTTCCCTAATTTCACTTCCACGTTATTGCTAGTAAAAATGGTGTAGTATCATGCTTTAGCCAATTTAGAGACCAAAACAAAACTCTTCCTCATGTGCGGAGTATGAAGAGTTTGCTTTAGGACCATGCCCTTTCCATTCTCTAACTGAAGGACATAATCTCCAATACCAAAAATTTGTCTTCTGATTTCCACCCATGAAGATATGCTAATCCCTAGGGGAATTTGGCTTGAAATTTTTGAAGTCATCCTTGGTGTTAGACACATGGGCAATGGACCCTGAGTGAAAACGCCATGACCCATCCTTAGGGTCAGTGAGCATGGTCTCCACAACCACACAAGAATGCTTCCTATCGGCCATGGGATATACATTCTTGAGTGTTTAAAGCATTTCGCAATTTGCCCAAATCTCTTGCATTTATAACACTAGGTATTCTTTGAGTCCCTCTTTTTCTTATGGCCCTTCAACCCCCTTTCAATTCTCATTCTTCTTATTCTTATTCATCTCCTTGTCCCGTCTTTCTTCTTAAATGATCTTGGGTTGGGTTTGAGGTGTACCAGGTTCACAGAATCATCCGAGAATGGAGTATCACGAGTCATCCTTCTTTCTTCTGCTGCTTTAAGCTTGGGCTGGTCTCGTCCAACTTTGGCATGCTCTCTTATACAGAAAGGGCTGAGATGAAAGCTTCCCAAGAGCTTGGCATGGAATTCAGCAGGTGGCACACTTGCATGTTTTCATCTGGCTTTATTTAGCAGCCTCGAGTTCTGTGGTTAGAGCTCAGAAAGTTTGAATGTGCTCAATCAGCTTTCCTCCCTCTTTAAGCTTTAGGTCAGAGAATTGCTTCATCGCCATGGTTCTTCTAATAAGGGAAGGAGTAGCATAATGGGCCTCGGGCTTTTGATGGATTTCTTTTGCAATCTCCGGGGGCTCGTACTCAAAGGCATGAGCATCATCCATGACAGTAAGGGGGAGATGCCTAGCCAAGGGTCGTTTGCACTCCCACTGAGTATAAGCATCCATATATATTGCCTTCCGTAAACATTCCCCCTTGGCGCAGGTGGGGGGTTCTCAGTGAGCATCTGGCTGAGTACTTCTTTGAAGAGGACATGGTCAATTTTTCTCTTCCAACTTGCATAAAGCTTTTGGCTGCCATCTTTCTTGACTCAAGAATAAACGAAAACTCCTAAACTTTGGCAGTAAAATATGACAGCTTTGATATCAATGAAAGGCGTGGCTATGTGGAATTGAAGGGAGATAACATAAAGATTTTTCCTTGCTCTTTTATTAATGTAGCTGAATCCCACTTACAAGTGCCACAAAACACTGCAATAAACAAGAAATAAAACCCTAAAAACAACCTAGGATCTGTTCTTTTATTGCCAAATAGAATAGACACAATCCAAGTTGAGAAACATGCTTTGACTATAAGTTTTAGTACAAACTTGAAAATTCAAATAAGCAAGCAAAGAATGACTACAAAATAAACCCAAACTGTCGAGAAGACTTACTTGAATTTACCTAGAGTCACCCCTCCGACTTAGTACACCCCACACCCGATGTCCTGACTAATGCCGCTGTCTGGTCTTATTGGCCCTACTGAATTTCCTTATTTGGAAAGTTTCCTTATGCAATACCTCACAAATCTAGGGTTTTGAGAGCATAAACTAGATTAGGGTTTCTAGATCCCTTTTGGACCTCTCTAGAGCATGCCTCAAAAAGCACCTCCCTTGGTCTTACTATGGACTGAGCGTACCCCTCTCTGTTATCTTTGGTTGGTGTGCCAGCCCTAGTAGCCTAGGGTGCCACATGCCACCCTTTGGTGACTAGAGAGAGATAGAGAGTGGGATGTGGAGGAGAGAGATAGAGCGAGAGAGAGAGAGAGAGAGGCTAGAATGTGATATAGAGAATGAGGGGGACTCCCCTCCTTATACAAGCCTCAAGGGCCCTAGGTATGCCTATCCAATTTGTGACTCATTATGGCCCATAGGATTTTAGGAAATCTATGCGATGAGAGGATTAAACCTGAGACATCCATCCCATAATCAGCCATCATGAGTTTGGAAGAACCTTATCCCCTGAATCTTTGACCCATATCCACTTCTAGTCAAAACTAGGATAAGACGAATCAAAACCTAATTTTCTAAGACTCCCATATCTCTCACAAGATTGTAGGAATTCAAAAAATAAAAGATTTGGTCAAAGATTTAAACAATTTCTCAAAACAAAATATTCTTAACTCCCCCAAATATGGACACAATATCTTTTCCAAAGATTTCCTTACTGAACAAAATTATTTTTAATTTTAAAAAATAAAACAAGGGACGAGAGGGGTGTACCACCTTCATATGTGAGGGCTGGATCCAAGAGGCCCACACGAGTACCAACTAACCCCTCCACTATACAGGAATTTCTAAAACACGCTTCTAAGGCTTTATACTACCGAAAATAATTCTAAAAATTCTGGAAAAATTTCTGAAATTCACAAAAACATTTATTGCACTAAAAAAGAGATAGAAGTGGACTAGTACCAACAGGTCAAGATAAGTGACTTTTAGGGCATTTCACTCGACTTAATAACCATGATCCTCGACTATCTACTCAAACTAGCCCAACAAGACCCATGACCCATAGTCTCATACAGGGGGCTTATGATTAGCTCATCAAAGCTGGCCAATAATAATGAAAACATGGTCCTGAAAACATGGGTTACAGGTTCCCCCTTGAGAGAAAGACTCACGCACATATCACTATAGTCCAAGGGGTACTATAGTCCAAGGGGGACTCTCAAATCTGTACATATTCCATTTTTTGGGTTGCTTCTCAGTATGCAGTTGCCATGTGTACAAGTCGTGCAAAAGTTTGTTGAGTATTTAGCTCTCGCTCTCACAGACGTACATTCGCAAGTAGGAGACCACAAAGCTCTACTGACCTACAAACCATCATTGGGTATCTTTCTGACTTCAACAAGGGATGAACCTCTGAAAATCCTCTTCGGTAATGTCATCTGCCAAACAATTTGACAATAGGATGTGGCATTTGGCTCGATCTGCCAGTATAGAAGGAGTAACATTCGACTTAAGTGGGGTATTGTATTTAAATTGTCTACAAGGTTGTGAAAGGTGAGATCACAAGAAAACTAATTTAAGACAGACACGTGGACACAATCAGGAAGCCTAGAAATATAAAAAATCAAGCAAATGAAACACATATAAACTTGTAGCCCAACATGATCATTTGAAAATCCATGTTAGAAACTACAGGAACACCCAATTAAACTAGAAGCACAATGCCTAAATAAGTGAAAACTGTAAACAAAGAGCTAACTCTTTGATATACACTATCAAGAACCATCCTCAGCATCATAAAGTTGAAGTTCTCAACAAAGACAATAGAGAATTACCAATGCTTATGGTAATCTTTCAAAGATAATAAAAACAATCCATCCCCAAACTAATGCAACCAGAGGTGTTTAGAAAGCAAATAATCTTAGTCAAAAGAACTAAAGTTTCTCCAGTGTCAATTGCATACCCAAGGAAGTATAACTTTGCAAGCTTTGATAAGGTGATCGTGTTGAATTGTCAACCAGTTCTCCAGCCCTTTTCAAGCCCAAGGGAAATTGTCCCAAGAGGCCCAATTTATCTAAATAAAACCATAGTCTTTATATCTCTTTCTTTATACTTTTGAAATATTTTTCGGCCATTTTGGTTCGATATCTTTGTGACAATACTCTGCTCCTAATGCCACTTTGACCACAGGACAGCAGAGACTTTTGAGAGGATGAGATCCTCTCTTCTATGCAAAGGACTCCTCTCATTTACCGTATGCTAATCATATAGTATACAAAACAGCTATTACATATGATCTCAACTATTCGTACTAAAATCTTTGCCAATTGAGATGACATGTTCCCCATTCAAGTCCATCATTGTCCACCCAAATGGAGAATGATGCTATAACAAGAACAAAAGTGGCAAGATCATGAGGAAAGGAATTCATAGGCATTATTTCAGGTATATTGGTGAATCTTATATTAGTAAAAGTTTTAGAATAATAATTACAACCACTAGAGTATAAGCTGCGCAACCAAATAAAATTTATAACTGGAGAATAAATGATGCAATTTCACTTACGGAAATGCAATATAAGTGGTTCGGAGTGGAATACAGTTCCTACGCCATGCCCAACGAAACATTCAGCCACACCATACCCATATCTTTCAGCATGCTCACTGCAACAGCAAACATCCAAAAGCATGAGATTCCACATAATTCAGATTGTCAATATTATTTGGAAATAGGAATCTGATAAGATGCTTGCTTGATGACTTTTCAATGTTTTATGTGGCACACTGCATGCATGAGGTATGCATAACCCACATGACGATGATGAAGAAGATTTAATGGTGAAAATGCACCTCACACACTGTAGTCTGACGTCAAACATAAACAGTTAAAACTAGCTATTTTTTCAAAAACACAAACCATAGAAGAAATTATAAGAACAGTGAAATTTACTCCCAAAAAGCAGAAAACAATCTTTGCAGCATAGATGATTTCAGGAGGAAACAATGTCAGAGGAGAAACAGACAAAAGGGAAAAAGATTCACAGAAGACCAAGAAAAGTCACAGACAGAGACAGCGCCCAAAAGTATTCTCTAAGAGATACCAACCGAGGATGCAATGCTGCACAATTTGAAGGTTAACATTATAAAAAGTAAGTGAGAATCACTAGTGTTCACAGATGCCAACAATGAAGGAGAATATTGGATGTAGGCATGGATAAGAAGGAAGTTGGGTTTGACCATACATAAGATGCAGCTGGCAGTGTCTAGCTAGCCTATTACAAACAAAAATAAAGGACATTATCATTTCAAATTCAAATAAATACATTAACCTGCTGACCAGCAGCGCTGTTCAGGGAAGACATGGCCATTGTTGCAGTTTATGAATTAAACATCAATATAAATTAGAGGAACCTGCTTTATGAAATGAGAAAGTTGTCAATGGCTCTTCTGATACATGGCTCACAAGGTTAAGACTTGAGTTGTAGGCCACCGAGAGTGAAGCATCAAGTAAGAAGATCTAAGTAGCATGAATGGACTATTGTGAGATGGCCAGCTGGAGAGATAAACATATAGAGGTTTGCATAGATCAAACAGCGACCCTGCATGCACTGCTCCCATCCACAATAATTTGGACAACTGTGAATTACATCAAACTTGATCCACAAAAAGCTTGAGCTCATTACCTATCTGAATAGAAGCATAGTATTATATAGATATGGTAAATCATTTTACTGGAAATTAGGAGTGGAGTCCCATGAGGGTTTTTGTTCTCGAGTATAACATCCTTGGCACTCGGAAAGGGTGATTTATAGTATATCCCTTTCAATTCACTTGTGTAAAAAATGGGGAAATGTCTAATCTTATTTATGCAACCCAAGCTTTAAAACACAATTGCAACATAACTTATCTTCTTTCCAATCTTCCTGAAGTTAGCACCATCTTTGCAGGCAGATATAGCTCTGTTCATGCACTCTTCTGTGACCTAATACACATAAGCGAAGAAGAATAAGTACAAAATAAGAAACAATATCTGCTCATGCACTCGTCTGTTACCTAATACATATAAGGGAAGAAGGCTAAGGACAAAATAAGAAACAGAGACTCCTCCAGCTGAACCACTATTTGCAATAGAGCATTGAAAGCATACATGGCAGAACAGTAGAAAAGAGGGAACCAATTTTCAGGTTTCAAGAAGCATGTTCATGATGAAAACCACAGCCATGTAACTGCAATCAAGTGGTAATTATTTTTTGGCAGGTTGTGCATAAGCATATTCTACTATAAAGGGTAATCAAGACCTTTTTAATAATTTATGAGAATCTAAGAACGTATGCTTGATACAAATATCTTCATCCTGCTAGCAAAAGTCTCAAAAGTCCTCGCCTTCTATGGTTCCTCTTTCTATTCCTGTTGATACTTCTTCTTCACCTCAGTTACTCAGCGCTCCTGAACCTATTACTTATGTCCCACAAGAACAACACAAAAGTTTACACAAGAAGAAAAGTGTAGGATGAACACTCCACTCAGCCAACCACTCAAGCATCATCTTCGCCTACAGATCCACTTCCTGCTTCTAGCTCACACTCTGTGTCTGGTGATGATGATGTACCTATTGTCATCCGTAAAGGTAAAAGGACTTGTACTCAACATCCCATTGCTCATTTTGTTTTCTTAACAGGTTTGGCTCCATCCTATCAAAAATTTTATTCTGCTCTGTCATATATTTCTACCTCTAAGCCTTACTAGGAAGCACTTTCTCATACTGGGTGGAAGAAAACAATGGAGGAAATAGATGCACTCAACTTGAATGATACATCGGAATTAACTAAGTTACCAGCTAGAAAAAGGATCGTTGGGTGTCCAAGAGTTTATGCAGTAATACCAACCTGATGTCACTGTTGAGAGATTAAAAGCCTGATCCGTTGTCAATGATAAACGCAAACCTTCGCATTGATTCCACTTAAACTTTTGCTCATGTCGCGAAGCTTAATTCGTTCGAGTAGTTATATTTGTAGCAGCAAACAAGGGCTAGCCATTGTGGCAGCTTGATGTCAAGAAGGCCTCCATGGCGATTTACAAGAAGAGGTTCATATATAGCAACCACTTAGGTTTGTTGGTCAGGGGGTTATGTAAGTTGAAGAAAGTCATTTACGGTCGCAAACAGTCCCCACACTCCACGTTCATGGTTTGAGAAATTTAGTAAAATTATTTTGGAATATGGATTTCGACACAACCTACAGATCATTCGTTGTTTTATTCAGAAATAGGACTCGAGGATACTTGTTTTGGTTGTTTATGTTGATGATATTATCACTACAGGCAATGACCAAGAAGAAACCAGTCATTATAGGAATTCTAGTGAATTCACAAAGCCATTGAAGCTTGGATTGTGAGCTTCCCTTTGATTTCAATCAAATTATCAGAGTTGTTTTTCAGTTATTCTTTGTACATTTGAATTTGCATCACTCAAAAGGGAAAGAAATGTATCAAAAGTAGCCTAGACAAGAACAAGCAAAAGTGGCAATACGTATGCCCCTCAACAAGGAGGACAATGAACCATACATGATCACATAATGATAATGACAACAGACATCAATAAGATGATGCCAACGATGCACACTGACTTCAAAGAATTTCAATTTGAGATTACTTAGAACTCATTTACTTTGATATAACAACTAATAAATATCACATTATGAACTGCTATGATTCAATATTTCATCATATATCGAACTAAAAGTGAAACAGCACAAGATCAAGTGAATGTGTGAATGATTTCTGATGTCAATTAGCAAATCAATGTGTCAATATGCATATAGTTACATAAGCTACAGCTATTGTTATTTATTGATTGTTGTCATGATCGTTGCCATTTGTCTTGTATTTATGCATTCAATTTTTTTATCTTAATTGATAGTCTCCCCTAACCAATCAAAGCACTCCTCTTCCAGAACCAAACAAACACGGGCTGCAAGGCAAATCCGATGACATACAGATACCATATATGAACACAACCACTTCAAAACAGAAAAAAGGAAAAGAAGACCAACACAGAAAAACCAAAGACTTTTAAAGGGCCAAAATGATAAAGAGAACTCCATTAATCTACAATAGTTTAGATGGATAAACAGACGGGCATACTTTGTGTGTTGGAAGCAGGTGCATGAGCATATAGGCATGCAAGTAAATTGGTTATCGAGATTTAACTCATTCCATTAGTTGCACCAGTCTGAGAGCAATCTACAAGAACAATGGTTTCTAGTCTATGTGCAATCAAATCCATTCAGACTAATATTGAGGTGCCTAACATAACACCATGTGGTACGTCTCAATAAATAGAAAAAAAGTATATACCCTGACAAGGCGTTCCGTTTGTTCATCAACTTTCCCACAAAGGAATGTCTTTGAAGTGTCCCCATGATACCCCTAGCATGAAAATCAATGAAAATCACTTTCTGCTCAACAGTACAAGCAAGATGCAGTATGAGAGAAATTCAAAATGTGGCCTCTATATTCAAGTAGATTCAAGGACTTTCACATTCGAATGCAACAAGGATGTCACTAACTAACTTGTAATGCCTCCAAGGGACCAAATGTAAAGAGAACTGTACACTGATAGACAAGCAATCAAGATAACTGTTTATCTTTATCATTAACTGTCTGTAATTACATTTGACTGCGTAACAGTATATACTCCGTAGGTTATTGTGGAAATTGAAATCTAGACATGATTTCCTTAACATTCATGTGTAAATCATCTACTTAGCAAGGAAAATAACGGAGTAACTATCTATCAACATGCAATTTGAGCAAACTCCATGGGTACAAGAATTATTAAGAAGTTATGGTATGCAGAAGAATAAAACTAAGAGTAAAAATTAATGACAAAGATAGAGATCTTACATCAAGCACGACAGTTATAAGCATGAACATTCACATTTCAATAAAAAATACGAAGTCACAAAAAAAATATCAGATGTGGCCAAAAGAGTAACACTAAAGAACAATAAAAGAGCATACTTCTTTCAAACTTATGAAATCTAAGATAGCCAGCTTAAATCCTTCAGCATCTATCCTGTGATCATGATGTTGACCAAATCCAAAGTACCAAGCTAACATGAAAAACGCAGCCCATAAAAGAAAGATGCAGACAATCAGCAAGGCAACACTTTCCAGAAATGTTACAATAGGATCGCCAACTTGACCATCACAGCTCATTCCAATTTCTCAATCAAAGCCTCTAAAATGCTCTCTTCTTATCTCCCAAACAACTGTAGAACCAGTTGAACCAGAAAGCCTAGCCAGGTCTATAAACATCTAAAATCTAGTTTTACCTAGCTCCAATTTCAAAGACTCCTACGTGTCGCATCATATTTTTTTTACCAGGCTCTAAGCACATCCACATAATGGTTTCCCCAGATGATTTGTGATCATTTTAGGATTTTGTGGAAGTCGTGGACAATTTGGGACCAAACGGATTTTGTTCACAGCAGGTCCCTCATTTGATTCCTGGATTTCACCCAATAATCAATATTCATTTTCCTGTTGTCAAGGTTTGGACTTCTGTCGGGATTTAATCTTAGCGCTCATCGATTCAAAACTTTTATCATGGGATATTTACAGTTTACTGCACATTACTGCAAAAGTCCTATGCTTCAAGCATGCCACTCAAGGGAAAATTCTTCCCAGAAATGACAATTATAAATTCGGCAATGATGAAAGCCATACCTATAGTCACAGAAAGACCTATATGTATTTTGTTTTTTAAAATGGACCTACATGTATTCACTGATGATACAAATCAAACAAATGACATGCTTTTCAGGAAACTAATATCAGCTGATGCAGTATGAAAGAAAGCTTGGCCAGGGCAAAACCTTTAAAGTATTAGAAGTCCCACTAGAACTTCACCCTAAGACATCACATATAACAGCAAGATATGTATTATAACATTATCAAAACCATTAGTCCTCCGTAGCTTCTAGATTGAAGCCTTTTCCTAATAAAAGGGTTTCTCTTCAATTGTGGAGAACTACTAATCAAAATGAAAAGAGAAAAATCAACCATTCATCTTCTTTTGTTCAATTGTGTTCTTAGCTCAAATAAAAGGAAATTTATAGAATCTTATACTGCTACAAGCCTTGACCAAATTCCATGTGTCCAAATATCAATCTTAATGTGAACTTCTTGAGATATCTGCATTCCTCAGGAAAGTATGTGTTGCACATATCCAAAATTCCACCAACTGCAACAACACGCACACACACCTTCATCCCACTGCTAAACTCTCTTTTCCACTACTCGATGTTTACACTTGCCAAGAGTTTCTTCAGCCTCATGTTGTGAATTTAATACTTTATTGTGGCCTCCCACTCAAATGCCTGAAGAAAATCCACCATAACAACTCTCATCACATGTATGAAGAAATGCATGCCTCCGAATATATATTCTCTTAACATCAGTATTCTATTCACCACTCATTTCCAAGTTGAGCCAACATGATTCACTCACTCTGTGCCCAAGCTTTTCGGCAAGAGGGAAATGGAGGAACTTCAAAAAAGTAACTAAAATACATCGTAGGATTGTCTTCCTCTTTAAACAAGCCATGAAACAATTGTTGGTTCTTCGTTTAAAAATTAAGGCTAGTGGAATGTAAGGTAAAACAAAATACGCGTAGATGCACACACTTTTGCATGTGTTAATATATATATATATATATATATATATATATATATAGTTAGGTTTAG